AGAGATTGAAGACTGATTACCTTCAGTTTTAATAATGCAGAGAAAACTGGCACTTTTGTACATTGTCATCTGGCTCTGTCAGAACTTAAAATGCATATATTCTTTGGGGAACCTAGCACACATAAAGAAAAGCATGGCATAAAATAATTAAATAATTAAATCACATTGTCTGGGGGTGGGGGGTGGGGGAAGCAGCCTGAATATCAAGAGGGGAATGTTTGAACACATTACAATACAGTCATGTGTCACTTAACAATGGGATACATTATGAGAAATGCATTAGAGAATATCATCATTGTGCCAACATCAGAGTGTACATACACAAACCTAGATGGTATAGCCTGCTACACACTTAGGCTAATATGGTATAGCCTATTGCTCCCAGGCTACAAACGTGTTTAGTATGTTGTTCTACTGAATACTATAGGCACTTGTAACAAAATGGTCAATATTTGCATCTCTAAACATAGAAAAGATACAGTAAAACTTCAGTATCTTAATCTTTTGGGACCACTGGGTTGTTGTATATGTAGTCCACTTTTCACCAGAAAGTCTTTACTTTCAGAAAGTCATACAAAGATGGCTATGTATCCTATGTGATGTGATGCACAAATACAGGTAGGCCTATACATGTTGAAAGGAATAGCTGTGTATACAGAACGAACCCTTTATAAAAAATCCCCAGAACAATGTATATGCTTGCCCCTATTTATATAAAACATGGAAGGATAGCATCCTAAACCATCAGTGTTCTTCAGGTAGATGGGATTTAGAAGTAGGAGAGTAAGAGAGGCAAACTAATTTTTAAAAAGATGCTTTTGCATTTGTTTTGAGCATCTTGTTTTATTTTCTTAACCAATACACAAAAATACAGAACAAAAACTGGGCATAGAATATAAATTAAAGTTCTCATTTTCAAAGTGAAAAATTTGAAAAGATACTAGGGTAAAGCTGTTAACTCAAGAAATAGTGGTAAAAATAAATCACTTAGAATTATGGCAGCAACCAGAAGAAACAAAATAGGGACTTGGGATGAGGTGGTAGACTTTTACTTTAAAATAGAACTAGGCAGCCTATTTTCCAGGATAAATTGGCTTACATGCAGTATGCCCTATGAAAGTAAAAGGTTTTAATAAATACCTTCACCACACCTTAGTACCTCACATTAATAAAGTAAAAGCCAGGTACATAAAACAAGAAGCAAGGGTATAAACATAAGAAACAATTATATACATCAATTGGGTCCCCAGGCAAGCTGAAAACAGTTTTTAAAAATATTCCACGCTATACCTTTTAAGACAATTTTAGGTTACCCTAGAGTAGGAAGTAACCACATTCAAATGAGTTAAGCTATTAAAAAGTAAAAAGGGCCACAAGCTTTATTAAAAGTAAATGCAACATTATTATGTACAGATGGCACATGGTGCCAATTTTATTTGCCGATAAAGTACTCCAAGTTTACAAGTTACACCTTTACCACAGCCTTGGCTAAGTCTTGTACTAGTGCAGAATTCAGCTGTGCTAGAGTGCTGATCTTAGCATGCTTAGATGTGGCATACTTATTCTTGATAGTCTGGAAGAGAAGAGCATAACAATTAAAAAGGAAAACAAAACAAAACAAAAAATCACAAGACCCAATGGTACAAAATATTCAATTAAACCATCCAACTCCTTAAAAATAAACTATGCATTTGCAAGCATGAAGTCTGAATTATTTTCACCTGTAAACATCTTATAATGCCACCAAATTGACTCACCATGTGCTTTGTAAGCCCTCGATTTACCATGACTATATTCTTAGCCAGGTGCTGCATAACAGGAAGAAGGGATTCTTCAGTGTATGATAGGTAATGCTGTAGAGTTGGTGTCTAAGACAACAAAAGTTAATGTTAAAAATGCTCATTGCCCCCTTAATATTTTGAAATTAAAAAAATAAATAAATAAAAATGCTCATCAACAACATTTTGGCCAGGTGTGGTAGCTCATGCGTGTAATCCTAACACTCTGGGAGGCTAAAGCAGGAGGATTGCTTGAGCCCAGATGTATGAGGTTGCAGTGAGCTATGATAGCTCAAAAAATAAAACAAAAAATAAAAATGGTTTTCATAAAATTTCTAGGTATTTTTTAAGAGTTGGGTAGGAAGATGAGTAATGTACGACTTAATTAAAATTTAAGTCAAGCTTACGACTCCTCCCCCAGGTACTTTCATGCTTCTGAAGGAACATGTGCTCAAACCTACTTATACCATTTTAATTGCTGACTTGTCCACCCTAAAGCTAGACTCCAAGTTCTTTGATGTCAACTTTCTCAGTCATAGTTCTCTTCCTAGGGCCTAGGGTAGTTTCTAGAACATAGGAGAAATATTTATTGAATCAATGAGTAAGAATGAACTTCTAGTATATCGTATGACCTGCCTGAGAGTTTTTCCATCTGTAAGGAGTAATAGCTGCCCTACTTCTCTCAAAGGGAATAAAGATGAAATTAGGATAAATAAATGAAAGCATTCTATGCAGACATCACAAAAATGGTGTCATTTTTGACCATTTCTTCAATAGATTCCATATTTAGGAACCATTTGAATTGTCCTTCAATGACAAAATTTCTGTATTCAGTCAAACACCATTTACAATTTAAAAGCTTGGTAGGCCAGGCACAGTGGCTCATGCCTATAATCCCAGACTGAGGCAGGAGGATTGATCACTTGAAACCAGGAGTTCGATGTTACAGTGAGCCATCCCAACACTGCACTCCAGTCTGGGTGACAGAACAAGACCCTGTCTCTCTTAAATAAAAAATAAAAGCTTGGTAGTTTTGTGGGACAGAGCTTACCCATTCACCATTATCCAGAATCTTCAATGCTAAGCAAAAAGCTCCTGCTGCAATTTGAGAAGGAGGAAAGTGTACCATATCATAGTCCAACATAGTTAGTTCCATCAGGTATTTGGCCAAAGTATGTTGTTCAACATCAACCTAGAATAAAACCCACAGAACACTGACCTTCTTTCAGAGAATTTTACATTGGCACTAACCTGCATACCACATCTGTAACTACAAATGTTTATCTACAGCATCTAAAATTCAATTGCCTGTGGAAGGCCCTAATAATAATATTAATATGTAGCCTGACTGAAAATAATAAAGAACATCTTTATCACTTCCTTATGTAGTTAGGTATTTAATATAGGCCAGTTGAATTAGACCTGCTTGGTCAGCAGCAGTGTTCCCTAATATACCATACTAAAAGTTTCTCAAGAAACCTATACCTCTCCAATCTTAGATGCTCTCCGAAGGAAGTGCAGGGGTAGAGGCCGACCCAGACCGAAGTTTAAAGCTCTTAGAATCTTCATTTCCATCTGTCTGATTTGGTGCTTCGTGTAAGTGTTGTCAGTCACAAAAGCAAAGTCACCAATTTCTGGAGGGTACATTTCTTCATATTTGCTTGCAATAAACATGGCAGTGACACCAACGAGCTGCAGCATCTTCTTGGGCACACAATTATTCTACAATGGGAATTTCAACTGAATGAATAAGTAATATGTATTTGAAAAGGAGACAGAGCTATTAAGGAGAGGTGGGAAAGACACACTCCCATAGTAAAATCTCAACTAATGGCACCCTATCCCGAGACAGATTTTAGCTGAAAAAAAAAATCATTTTCTTATGACTCAGCTAGGACCCTGAAAGGAAGCCCCCTCAATTACTGAATTATGCGCACCTGCATGAACCGATCAATAATGGCAACAGTCATGTACATGGTCTCCTGCAGCAACCTGAATTTCATTTGAACCTGTACTAGCCAGTCAATCAGGATGGCTCTCATGTTTCCAGTGACTTCCTGACCCAGTAGGTATTTTGGTCTAACTGCTTGCTCTTCCTGCAAAAGAGAATGCCGATTATCTTTAGAAGCAAGACTCCATGTGACATTATGTCCAGAAAGATCACTTAGTTAATACAAAATAGCTCTGGGGCATTTAGAATCTTTAACAGTTCTTAATTCAATTATTCATATGGTCACTATAAACATCACCATTACTAAGAAAGAAAGCGAACATTACAGTGTGACAGGTTTTCTATATTGTCAGATCTTATGATGTTCAATTCACCACAACTGCTGCTGGCCCACACCCTTGTATCCAATTCCTTCCAAATAAAGATACCATACTAACATCTCAGATCTTTTCACTTAAGATTCTAAACCTAGAACCTGAGCTTTGTAAAGTGGAAAAAGTATCAGTAACTCCCAGATCAGCTGGAACCCATATGCTACCACACTCCTGCCTGTTCCAGAGTATAAACCCCAACACAACTAAGAAGAAAAATGAGCCATCAAGTACATGCCTTTACTAAACTGAATCCTCCAAACTTAGAATACAAACTTGAAAAAGCACACACACACAAAAAAAACCCCCCCAAAAAACCCAAAAAACAACTAACCAAACAAACAAAAAGGGAGAAAAGTTGGTCCTGGTAAAGTCTTGAGGATCCTATAGAAAATGGAGAGGCCCAAAAGGACCAAGCAAGAGACTGATGTCAATGATGACATAACAATGCATTAGAAACAACTGGGTAAATTTGGAAACTGTATAATTTATGTTACTATATAGAATGCTTCCTTGTTTGGGGTTAGGGGAAAGGTCAAATGCCATTAATAGAAAGTTTTAGAAGTGGTATGAAATTGAAGAAAACCAAAAACTTTTCTTTTTGAGTGTACCCCTTTTTTGGACACAAACAATTCCCCTGACAATTGCATGCACATCAACCACACTGACACAAAAAGCCTTGTCAGGGGTGGCTATAGTCTTTTAGCATCTTTTATATACCCATCTACTTCCTGCCTTGCTATCCCCCTTAAACCCAAAGTTTGGACTTACCCACTCCAAATTGCGATGGGGATACATGCATATATACACATACACACACACACCCCAATCATTCAATCTGTGGACTTTCTTTTACCAAGAGCCATAGCAGTATTCACCCTTTTTTTTTTTTTGACACAGGGTCTCACTCTGTCACCCAAGCTGGAGTGCAGTGGCCTCGTCACAACCTCAAAAGCATGCCTCCTGCCTCAGCCTCCCAAGTAGCTGGGAATACAGGCACATGCCACAACCAGCTAATTTTTCTTTTTTTTTGTAGAGACGAGGTCTTGCTCTATATTGCCAAGGCTGGTCTTGAACTCTTGGTCTCAAGTGATCCTCATGCCTCAGCCTTCTAGAGTGCTGAGATTATAGGCGTGAGGCACCATGCCCAGCAATATCCACCCTACCTTTGAACATTCCTGTTCAAAGTGGAAAACAGACTTCATTGGTTTGCTTAGTGACTTTTCATTTTTGGTATTCTATGAAGAATCTGAAAGTGCAATCTATTAAATGCCACCCACATCCTGCTTGAATTATTGTAAACTATTGAAAGAAAATCTTTAATAAAGTTAGATATAGTTTAGAAAAAACACAGACTTTAATGATAATACTGACCTCAAGTTGTCTCAGATAAGCATAAATATCCTTCACATATTCACTACACAGGTTTGGATCAGCTCCATCTTCTGCATCCACATCACTTACTGCAAGAATTACGTCAGAGAAAGCCTGACACAGATATTCTTCTGCAGGGGCACATCCAGATGTTTCCATTGGGCTTGGAGAAGGAGTATCAACCTTGAAACAAAGAGATCTCTTGAAACAGTAGCAAAGAGGAGTACACACTATAGTTTGGAAATGAAGGTCAGATTAGTACCAACTCAAGAAACCATTCTGAATAAACATATAATTCATTTCTTTAAAGGAAAAGTAACTAATATAAAAAGTGAAATGCCAATTTCTACTGAGCCAGTTTAAAGTGGCAAAACCTAAATGGTAACAGGTAAAACAGAAAACAGAAGCAACCAAATTCATATTCTAGACTTTCCTCCAAAGGAAATGGGTAATATCTGTTTATCGGCAACATGTGAATTAATCCAAATGAATGACAACTCAGTCTTTAGTGTTTATTTCAAAACATGGACTGCTTCTCACTACTCAGATTATAAAAATTCTGTTGGAACTACCAAGGATTAACTGACTTCATTACCATTAACCATTTCCTTTAAGCTCCTTTTTTACCCTACTGTTCAAACATTTATCGAGCGCCTTCTTCAGATCAAACTATGTGCTAGGCACCAACTTCATAGCATCCACAAGGGGCTTTGAGTGTAGTAGTCAAAGTAAATAAAGTAACAAGATTGATTCCAGGAACGGAAGTAGGAATGAGGAAAGTTAAGGAAAGTTTCAGGAGTTGATCCTTGAGCTATTTTGGAGGATGAAAAGGTTATTACCTAAATAAAAGGGGGCGGAAGGCATTCTTAATGGGAAAGCAAAGGCAAAAATCACTATAGGACATTTCAAGAAAGCCCCAGGTAGTCTGATATGCCCAATTAAAGACTATGCAGGCTACATGTTTCATGTTCAATGCCCAGAAATTCAACACCAAAGCAATAGCCTTTAATCTCTTACCCTTAGATATAAGAATCTAGACTGAATTAATACTACAGATAATTTTCCAACTGGTTTTAGCCAAGTTTTAAAAATTAGAGCTTCAGGCTGGGCGTGCATGGTGGCTCGCACCTGCAATCCTAGCACTCTGGGAGGCCAAGGCAGGAGGATCCTTTTAGGTCAGAAGTTTGAGACAAGCCTGAGCAAGAGTGAGACCCTGTCTCTACCAAAAATAATAAAAAATTAGCCAGGCGTGGTGGCGCATGCCTGTACAGTTACTCGGGAGAGGCTGAGGCAGGAAGATTGCTTGAGCCCAAAAGTTTGAGGTTAAGGTGAGCTGTGATGACACCACTGCACTCTAGCCTGGGCAACAGAGTGAGACTCTGTCTCAAAAAAAATTAAATAAATAAATAAAAATTAGAGCTTCAGAATGCATTATTGCAACTTCGTCAAAGCAGCCTCTTGTATATGGCCTGTCTTTCATTCACAAGACGGGATACATTTACATACCTGACATTTAATAAAATAGGTCTATCTGAAGAGCTACATTCTTTCTGCTTCCTTCATTCCTTTATATATTCCAATGTTACAGGCTTATTTAGTGGCCACATTAGGGAGTTAAAGATTCAAGAGGACATTCTGTGTTTCAGTCAATAAATTCTGGGCAGAGATGGCTTATACTTGGACAACAAAACCTTTGGTTCAGGGAGCTAATACTTAATATCATTAACAAAAGAGGTAATATAACAATGCAATTAAAAGCCCAGACAGACTGGGCTTGAATCCTGTATGTGCCACTTAGTTGTGTAACCCTAACTTAAAACTTCTCTAAAGCCATTGTCTAAAAAGTAGAGGTACATGCATTATTAACTCACATAATCTACTGTCTACCTCAAGTTAATGCATGTAAAGTGCTAAGTGGAGCCTGACTCATGTTAAGCACTCAAATTATAAGTATTTATTCAAATGCTGTTGCATGCATCAGTAAAACGAGGAAAAACAACAGACTCTAAAATGCTAAAAATAAGTTTACCAAAATAGGCTCAGGAGAAAGTTTTTCTTCTTTAACAGGCTCAGGTTCTGGCTCTCGCTCTGGCTGTGGCTGTGGCTGTGGCTCAGGCTCAGGTACCTTTTCCAGAGGTTTTGGTAGTTTTTTAGCAATAACTTTTCCAGTAGCTAAAGTTTTTGCTTCCTGTAGACAAAACAGAGAGAATGGAATGTTTCTGCATCAAGGGTCACAGTTTGAAGATGGGCTCTTACAAAGAACTTGGATAAGATAGTTATTAGTTACCTTTTTCAGAGGCATTTTGGCCTGCAGCTGTTCACTGACTTTGTTACCAATGTCTCCAAGAGCTGTCCTTGGCCTCAGGCCGGGCTTGGAGGCTGCAGCAGTGGCCACAGGCACACGCTTTGCGCCTGCCATACCGATCTTCGCCTTATTTTCAGCATTAGTTTTCATGTTCTGAAAGAAGCAAGATCACTTTGAGAGTTGGTCCAGGAAGACTCGAGTAAGTCAAGGGTTAATTAAGGTGGGGCACAAGAGAGACTCCCGGAGAGAAAGACAACTAAAAATGGGTCCCAAGGGGAAACGTGGGTTCCAGAGCCTACTCTAAGGCCATGACAAGTCAGTTACCTCTCAGAACCTCTCGGACCACCTACTGAGGGATTTCCTGTGAAGTTAGGGCCATTTCTAAAATACTGAGAATTTACATTTTAAAGGAAACCGAAAATGCCTCCGATTGCAGACGCGTTCTTTCTGAGGCTAGCTAGAGGGCTCACTCCGGGGCCCTCCACTACTTTTTAGAAAGGTTTCCAGTCGACTTCCCCCCGCCCCGCCAGACATTTATCCGAGATACGTCCAGTTCCCTTTCTCACCTTCCTTCCACCGTCCGTCATCCCCCAGACTCCTCACCATGCCAGGCGCCCACTCAGGCGCTCTCTCGGTGACCCTCCCTCCCATCCTCCTGAAATCGCGGCGGCGGCCCTCTCCCGCGCTGGGGGTTCCCGCAGGCGAGAAGGCATGCAGCCAGGAAGGCCGCGTTTGTTCGCGGCCCGCAGCGGCTTACCCTGGTGACTCGGAGCGCCATGGCTTCCTCTTCACCAGACAGCAACTCAGTGGGGAGAAGCACAACACCGGAGCACCAGACCAGCGGAGGCCCTGAACCACCGCAGACCAACAACCGTTCCTCCGCAGCACGCCAGGAGGAGCCGGCCCCGCCTCGGGTTTAAACCCCGCACCGCTCCCTCCTTATTGGCCTGTTCGAGGCACTCGTTCCCTTCCCATTGGCGGCTGCCGGGTCCCGGAGAATGCGTTTCCAGGGCGATCCCGCGAAGGCATTCGAGAGGGGGCGGGGCTAGAGTGAGGCTGCGCCCTGACGGCGCCCGGCCAGGCCCTCACGTGGTCTGGCTCCGCGCCTGCGCTCTCGGGCAGGTGCCGCGGCCACCTGAGAGGCGTGAGGCGGCGGGAGGTGAGTGCGCCACCCACCTGGAAAGGCGAGAAACGGTAGCCTGTGCGCAGCGGGAGCAAGCCGAGGAGACTGCCTGTGGCCTTTAACAAGGGACCGTTAGGCGGCGGCAGTTTTAGAAATAAACATGAGAAGCAGTTTGGGCTCTAGTTCAACTTACTGTTCACTTTTCCTCTTCTGCAATAGCAGCGATGTCTTACAGTTTATGAAAGGCCTTGATATACATTCTTTCATTTGGTCATTCCAGCAGTTTCCGGAGGCTTGGATGAGTTTGCCAGGATCACAAATTAGCAACGCGGGGACTGAATTTAGGGGTTTTGCGGGGAGGTGGCGTGTGGATCCATGATGTTTCCACAACACTGATTGTCCCTTAAGAATATCACCTGCCAGTTTACTTCTGATTACTTGATTAATTCAAGATTAACCAGTTTTCCAAGGCCAATTATTTGTTTTAGCTTTTTATTTGGAAGTAATGTCATCTGTAGACCCTTTACCCAGATTCAACTATCCTTAACGTTTTTACCCCGTTGGCTTTGTCATTTGCTCAGTCTTTCTCTGGATGCAAAGAAAAACAAGCGGGCCCTTTCTGCTTTTTACCCCTCAAAACACACAAGGAACTCAGCAATTGGAGGGAAGGCAGAAGGATAAAAACATTGATATTCCATAGGGCAACCATATAAGAGCCAATGGAGACCTCTGGTGCTGGAAGTGAAGGGTACAGAAGGTGGCACCCAATCATTTAGATGAATTGTTATTCAATGTTATATCATCATAGTTCTTCCCTCCTACCTGGGTGCCTGCCATGGGGCCTTTGCCCTTGCTCTCCTCTGCCTGGAATGTCCCCCCTCTTATTGCCCTCACGTCCCTGGGTTCTGTCCACCTAACTCAAATTCACCCTTTAATTCTCTGTTTAATGTCCACCCTCAGTAAATATTCTAAATTTGATGAATCCTTGCCCCATCTCTCCATGGCTCAGTGAGCGTGGGCAATTTACTCATCTCTCTGTGTTGTGTTTTTTAAAATTAATTATTTTATGTTTATACACTTTATCTATTTATTTTGAGGAAGAGGAAAGAGAAGTTTATTAGTTTGCCTTCAAATGAGAAGGGCCATGGACCAGTCTCTCAAAGACTATCATCTGCACACTTTATTTTTTAGAGCAGTTTTAGATTCACAGCAGAATTGAACAGAAAGCATAGAGAATTTCACCTCACATAGGCACATCCTTCCCCACTATCAACATCTGACACAAGAGTGGTACCTTACACCACCGCCAGTGGTAGGTTACAGTCTGCGAACCTACATTAACACATCATTATTTCCCCAAATCCATAGTTTTACATAGATTCAAGCTTGCTTTTTTTTTTTTTTTTTTTTGGGACAGAGTCTCGCTCTGTTACCCTGGCTAGAGTGCATTGGCATCTGCCTAGCTCATAGCAACCTCAAACCCTGGGCTCCAGCGATCCTTCCTGCCTCAGCCTCCCAGGTCTCACTCTAGCTCAGGCTGGTCTTGAACTCCTGACCTGAAGTGATCCTCCTGCCTCAGCCTCCCAGAGTGCTAGGATTACAGGTGTGAGCCCCAGCACCTGGCCAAGGACTAATATTCTTAACGGTCATGGTAAGTTTTGTGATTTTTGTTTTTTGAGACAGAGTTTCCTTCTGTCACCTTGGTCTAGAGTGTAGTGGCATCATCATAGCTCCCTGCATCCTCGAACTCCTGGACTTGAGCGATTCTTCTTCCTCAGCCTCCCAAGTAGCTGGGACTGCAGGAACAGGCCACCTTGCCTGGCTAATTTTTCTATTTTTAGTAGAGACGGGGTCTCGCTCTTGCTCAGGCTGGTCTCAAACTCCTGAACTCAAGCAGTCCTGCCACCTCAGGCTCCCAGAGTGCTAAGACTACAGGCCTGAGCCAACACGCCCAGCCACATGTGGTATTTTGATATAAGCATACAATGTATAATGACCAAATCAAGGTAATTAGGATATCCATCACTTCAAACATTTATCATTTCTTTGTGTTGCGAACGTTCCAAATCTACTCCTCTCGTTATTCTGAAATATACAATAAATTATTGTTAACTGTAGTCACCATATTCTGTTACTTATTCTGTTACTTACTTAGATCTTATTCCTTCTATCTAACTTTTGTACCCATTAACTGTGGTGTTTATTTCTGTTCTGTCAAGTCTTTTTGGTATTCCTTTCCCCAAATTCAAGCCCCATATTTGGAATTATGAAATGATTAAGAAGACTTTTACACCAAAATGCCTTAGATGTTTCCTAGGTTTCCTTTGTATTTCAAGGAAACTACAAAGATTTACTACTTCATCTTACAAAAGAAGTGATAATAAAAATAATTAAGTTTGTTTGGCATTTTTCTAGATTTTAATTAACGCACAACTTTTGTGAGAGCTCTTTTATTTACCAACCCTAGGATATTTTTAAAGAAATGCATAAATTAAAAGCTATATTTTGCTATGTTTCAGCAAAAATATACTTTAAGGTTGAGAAGCATATTTATATTCATTTGTTAAAACTGATACATTAACTTTCTGTCAATTGGTTTGTTTGTTTTTTAAGACAGGATCATCTTGCCTGTTGGCTGGGTAAGAGTGCAGTGGCGTCATCATAGCGCACTGCAACCTCAAACTCCTGGGCTCAAGCTTGCCTCAGCCTCCTGAATAATTGGGACTATAAGCACGTGCCACCATGCCCAGCTAATTTTTCTATTTTTTGTACAGGCAGGGTCTCACTATGTTGCTCAGGCTTGTCTGGAACTCCTGGCCTCAAGCAATCCTCCCGCCTCAGTCTCCTAAAGTGCTAGGATTATAGGCATGAGCCACCATACCTGGCCTATAAATTGATTTTAAGAAAAATTTTGTTTCTATGGTAAAATACCCTTATAAATTGATGATATAATATACTTTATGGTTTAAATTAAAGGAACTGGAGATTTGTCAATAGCCTCACCATTAGTCCATATTATGTTCTTACTCAAGGTGATTATTGACTAATTCTTAGTCAGTTGACATGTATTATACTTTTACAGAGGATTCTACCTTGCTCTATTCTGGTATTATTGTTATAGTACATAAGCTACAGCCATTCAGTTTTATCAACCACAAGAGGTATCTGACTTTTTTCTCCTTATAATATTTGCCTAGGGGCTCCAGTTACAAGCTACAGATCCAAACTTGTCATCTGGAGGAAACATCAAAAAGCTTCAAAGGACCATATTAGGTAATCTTGATTGTTTATATTACAGAGAATAAAATTAGGCATTCAGGCTTCGCAGTATAAGCTGATCTTGTTACCATAAATACACACTTGTCAGAGTTCAGATAATTGAGTTAGGATTCCCAGGAACTCTTTGGTTTTTGAAGCAGATGACTTCATGGAAGCAGACTGCTTAATTCAAGATATTCCAGTCAAGATTGGTTCTATAAAATGGGGGCTGTAGGTTTACATTCAACTTGGTTGGATTAACTACAGTTTTTCTATTGTAATTTAGTACATACTTGGTTTAAATGACTCATACACACCTGAAAGAATATCTGTAAAATTTACCAAAATTAAAGATTGTTCTCCTGGTGACCTTTATATTTATGCCAAGGTAATATTACTGTTAATGTAGATCTTTAGAGAAGGTGGTATCAGCCCTCTAGAAAGCATTTATATGCCATTTTGGGGTTTTAATAATATTGGTAGCCTGTCATATGACCTAATATTCTCTCAACTGTGTGCCTGTTGAAATATAAATCTTCAGTTAGCAATCAGAGATAACAGTTTCTATTCCTTTATGCACAAGTTTCAACCTCGGATTGGCAGTCCCTACTTTATAATACTGCATTAGAAACTGCCCTTTCTAATGATAATCATAGCAAATAAAATTGTGTAGAACAGTCTGTTGTACTTGCTCAACAACAACAAACATCTTTTTTTTTTTTTTTTGAGACGGAGTCTCACTCTGTTGCCTGGGCTAGAGTGCTGTGGTATCAGCCTAGCTCACAGCAACCTCAAACTCCTGGGCTCAAGCAATCCTACTACCTTAGCCGCCCGGGTAGCTGGGACTACAGGCATGCGCCACCATGCCCAGCTAATTTTTTATATATATAGTTTTAGTTGTCCAGCTAATTTCTTTCTATTTTTTTAGTAGAGACGGGGTCTCGTTCTTGCTCAGGCTGGTCTCAAACTCCTGAGCTCAAATGATCCGCCCGCCTCGGCCTCCCAGAGTGCTAGGATTACAGGCGTGAGCCACCGCGCCCGGTCAACAAACATCTTTAACTTGTTTGTTGCAATGGTGCTGGAGAGTAGAGTCACTTCACATTATTTACTGACTAAACAGGGTGGTGCTTATTATCCACTGCTACCAGCTGTTGCATGTGGATAAATGCTTCAAGACAAATCAAGATATCTCGGTGTAAAATCCAAGAACAAGCCAAACCAAGTCAAGGTGTGGAAAAACCAATCCGTGGCATCTTTTTGCAGGACTTGGGCTTTTCCAAATAGGATGCTGATTAAGGGCACACTGCAAACAGTTATGTTGTTGCTAACAGTTGCTATTGTCAAGTTATGTTAGCAGGTTTTTAAATGCCAGTTGTGCAGCCACCATCCTGCTGTTTTATGCATTGGGTGATTCTATATCTAAAGGAGATTGAAGTAACTATGATAAACGAAATGGAATCCTGTGAGAATGGCATCTGAAAAAACCAAGATGGTGACAAGAATCTCAAAACCTGATAATACTGTGAGGTCATCCTATTGTCTCAGGAAGAAGGAGGACAAGAAAGAGGGACTATAAAGAATTAATTTTCCACTTACAGTAGCACTTGTGGAACTATTGAAACTGTTGTTTCATTGCCATAGCTCTAACTAG